CAGCTAGGGGCAGGGAATGAGGAATGACAGACAGTCAATGGATATTTGGGGGGGGTGGATATTCTAAAATTAGATTGAGATGATGGTTACACAACTCAATGAATACACTTTTAAAAACACTAAGCTGTACACTGTAAGTTATGTGAATTTTATCTCAATAAATCTGTTAACAAGAAGAGAGAAACAGAGTTAGATAATGTTCCCGAATGCCTCTAAAAGTAAACAAAACTAAACACACTCTTGTTACCCAGTGAGTAGCTGGATCAATTTCCCATCCCAGATGTTTTCCTTATTTCCTGCCTTTGAGCTGTACTCTATAATTTAGTATTAGCAGAATGTTAATAAAGACAACATATCCTTTGTTGCTAAATTTTACATAGTGTTTACCATTCTCCTCCCGCATACACATTTCCTCTGTTTTCCAACTGCAGCTGGGCTGCCAAAGCCTTGTAGAGAGAGTAATTACCCTTCTCCACCCTCCTGGTTTCACAACAGTACATAAATCCAATGTCTACATTAAGCCAATGGTTTGCTTGCCTCTCTAGGTCTTAAACTCACCAAATCGCTCACTGAACTCTGAGAGGCTTCCCCTCTTTTTGAAGACAAGAACAGGATAAATGGCAAAATTTATTATTTCCAGATCGCTTTTTCAAAGGCTACTTCCCTCGGCAGAAAGAAATTCTGTTTTGTTTTCTTTTTCTTCTTTGAGACAGGGTCTCACTACGTAGGCCTGACTTTGAACTCATGAGCTTCCTGAGTGCTGGGATTACTGGTGCAAGCCACCACACCCATCCCTTTTTCCTCTAAAGACAATGTATGGATTTTCAAGAAATACTAAGAGGGGTTTGTATCAAAGTTTAGTCACAATTTGCCCTATCCCTGCCCTGAGAGTACTTTTTGAGTCTGATATCTACATCCAGCCATTTAACAGCTTTCTCTCACAATGTTCCCTAGACTGGGATAGAGACATGGCTGAACATGATCTCTCTGCAAGTTAGTGGAACCTTGTTCTCTCAGAGCATTTATTTTCTATAATTCACTGTATAATTTCTTAACTTTCCATAATCTGAAAAGTCCTTTCCTACAAATATTTAGAACAGACTATAAGACCCATCTCTTCAGTAGTCTATAAATGAGGCATTTTATTCATTAAGTCACCATGTCATGTTTTATCTATAAGCAATTTAATTCCATATTTGTATTCTTGGTCAATCCTATAAGAGATACAATCTTTTTTCTTTTAATTGTGAAATTAAAAGGGTAGTTAACATTTCACTCTAGCAATAAAGTAAATGCTAAGGAGAATTTTTGAATTTTAACCATGAATTTTATATCCACAAATTTATTAGTATTATACAGAAAGCTTAAAACAAAAACATTCACCTCTTACCCGAAAGAATATGAGTTTAAAGTCACTCTACACCCTCATAAACTCTTGGTGGGGATGTAAAACGATGTAGCCAGTTTGGAAAACAGCCTGACAGTACCTCAAGTGGTTAAACATGGAGATGCATATAATCTAGCAATTCCATTTATGTGCATATGCCCAAGAAAAATGAAAATATATTATATTAGTCAACTTTCTATTACTATAACAGCACATCTGGATAACTTACAGGTTGGATAATTTATTAAAAAAAAAAAAAAAAGAAGAAGTTTATTTAGCTCATTGCTTTAGAGGCTGGAAGTCCAAATGGCATTGTACTAGCTCCGGCAAGGGCCACCCAGCTGTATCACAGGCAGACACCATAATGGCAAGCGTGCATGTGAAAGGGAGGGACAGGCTTGTTCTTGCATAACAACCATCTCTGGAGAACTGCCCAGGGTCCAGCAAGAACTACATTTCTTCTTTTTTTTTTTTAATACTTTTTTTGTTTTGTTTTTACATTTATTCTTTCCAAGGGCAGTGTGCTGATGACTCGATTGCCTTTCATTAGGCTCTGTCTCTTAAAGGTTTCATATCACTTCTCAAATACTGCCACATTGGAGACCAAGTTTCCAACATACCAGCCCTTGGGGGACATACTAAACCATACCCTAACCATAGTGCACACACATAGAATAACATGTATGTATATGAATGCCCATAGCAGCATTATTCATAACAACCGGAACACTCATCAACTAATGAATGGATAAACAAAATGTGGTATAATAATACAATGGAATATTACTTGGCAATAAAAAAGAATAAAGTGCCAATTCATACTACAATATTGATAAAAGTTTAAGATATTATGCTAAGTGAAAGAAGCAAATCAGAAAAACCATATATTGTCTGATCCAATTTATATGCAATGTCCAGAACATGCAAATCTATAGAGACAGAGGACAAGTTAGTGGTTGCCTGGGCCTGGGATTTGGGACAGTATGGCAGAGGGATTTGAGAGTGACAGCTAAGTGGTATAGGAAGTTCCTTTGAGGGCAATGAAATGATGTAAAACTGTGATTACAGTTATACAAGTCTATGAATATAAAAGCCATCGATTTTTGCACTTCTAAATGGGTGAGTTGAATGGTATTATATTGATTTATGGTGGAATTATAGCTCAATAAAACTGTTAAAAATTTACACTTAAATTTCCATCAACTGATAAACTGATAAAAAGTGACATACAAAGGAATATTATTCCACAATTAAAAGAAACAAAATACTGATATATGTATGTAACAACTTGGATGAACCTCAGAAACATAATGTTAGCCTGGCGCCAATGGCTCACGCCTGTAATTCTAGCTACTTGGGAGGCTGAGAACAGGAGGATCACAGTTTGAGGCCAGCCCAGGCAAATAGTTCATCACACCCCCATCTCTAAAATAACCAGAGACTGTGGACTGAAGGTGTGGCTCAAGTGTTAGAGCACCTGCTTTGCAAGCACAAAGCCCTGAGTTCAAAGCCCAGTCCCACCAAAAAAAAAAGAAAAAAGAAAAAAGAAGCATTATGTTAAGTGACAGAAACTGAACACAAGCAAATACGGTATGATTCTCTTATATGAAGTATCCACAAAAAGGCAAATCCATACAGGAACAGACAGGTTAATGGTTGCCTAGAGACAGGAGTAGAAGAGGGTGTAACTGTAAATGGCATATCTTTGGGGAATGAAAACATGTTCTAAAACTGTATTATGGTGATAGTTTCACAGATTTGTAAATGTACTAAGAATCACTGAACTATATATTTAAAACAGATGACTTTATGGTATGTAAAGTGTACCTCAATAATCTAACCTTACTTTTTAAAAAAAGACTCTAAAAATGTTTCAAATAGACAAACGACTAACTTTTTACTTTTCACTTTCATTTTTATTTTATTTATTTATTTATGTATTTTGGCAGTACTAGGGGTTTGAATTCAGGACTTCACACTGAGAGCAGGCACTCTACCACTTGAGTCGCAGCTCCAGTCCTTTGCTCTGGTTATTTTGGAAATAGGGTCTTGCTTTCTGTCCAAGTCAGCTTGGACCACAATCCTATTTTTTAAAGTTCCTGCCAGGGCAGGAATGACAAGCTGGTGCCACCATGCCAGCTTTCATCCCTCAAGATAGACCTTCGAGATGGACTCTCGAGATGGACCCATGAGATGGACCCTTGCAAACTTTCCTGTCCAGGCTGTCCTGAGCTCCGATCCTCTGATCTCAGCCAAGCAGCTCAGGATGACAGGCATGTGTTGTTGCACCCAGCTATTAGTTGAGATGGGGTCCTGCAAACTCCCTGCCTGGACTGACCTTGATTCAAAATCCTCCAAATCTCATCTCCCAAGTAGCTAGGATTATAGGCATGAGACACCAGCGCCCAGCCCAAGGTATTATGTTAAAGAAATTTTAAAAAATGTTTTCTGCAGTGCTAGGGAACCTAATTTTTTAAATAGACAAAATGCCTGAACAGGCAATTTACAGAGAAGACATGAATGAACCAAAAAACGGTAAAATATTCAATCTCACCAATAATAGAGTAATAATAGAGTAATGCTAGTTAGAAAGATGCACATGTGTGGCTAAGCAGGGTGGTGCACACCTGTACTTCCAGCTTGGTAGGCTGAGGCAGGAGATGTGCTAGAGCCTAGGCCAACCTTGGCAGCACAGTGACACCTCATCTCAAAAAAGAAAAAAAAAGAAAAATCAAACCTCAGAAGCCAGGCTGAATTCAAGGCCAGCCTGGTCTACAAAGCCAGACTGTGCCTCAAACAAATCAACAAAAAAACACAATGTATCCAACAGACTGGCAAAAATTCGCTGGAAACAACTCAAATGTCTATCAGAAACAATCAAGTAAGGATGGCTGAGACAAAGGAGGGGCATCTCATGATGAAAATTAACAAATTGCAGGTACACATATTATAATACCACTTCAAATCATGCACAGTACCACCAGAGCTCAAGAAACAACAAATGCAAAACCAGGATAGTAGTTCCCTATGGGTGTAGAAATGTGACCAGAGATGGGTAGAGTCAATTTCAATTGAACTCTTAATTTTTAATTTCTTAACCTGAGTGGTGGGTGCATGTGGGTGTAGTTTTTTTGTGTGTGTTTTTTTTTTTTTGGCATGAACTCAGGGCTTCATGCTTGTGAGGCAGGCTCTCTACTGCTTGAGACAAACCTCCAGTCTGTTCTTCATTTTTTTTGGATGTTTGAACTATTTCATAAAAACATAAAAAATTTATTCAAACTTAATTTTCTGCCCTAGAAATGTAAAATATATTAGTATTAAGATTAATTCTCATGCCATTTGCCACTCACACTCCTAAAATGTATCATTCAGTGCTTTTTAATATATTCAGAAGGTTCTTAGGGCTGGCAGAATGACTCAAGTGGTAGAGCACCTGCCTAGCAAGCGTGAGGCCCTGAGTTCAAACTTCTGTACACACATGTACACAAAAACCTCCACAAGGTTGTGCTGTCACCTTCATTAATCCAGAACATTTCATCACCTAAAAAAGAAACCCTTAAGGCCAGATGTGGTAGTTCACATCTATAATCCCAGCATGTAAAAGCTGAGGCAAGAGGATTGTGAGTTTGAGGCCAACCTGAGCTAGATAGCAAGACTGTGTCTCAAAACAAAAACAAAAACAAAACAGCAAAAACACTTTAAAGACTAGGTACAAAGATTAGCTCAAAACGTTACTGACTTGAATTACTAACCTTAAACACATCTTCAACACATCTATTAAGTTCTTCTTCTGTCACCAAAATGGCCCCTGGCACCATGTCACTCTCTGGAATCTCTAGAGAAAGAACAAATACAATTATCCACACGCAGGACCTCACTGAAAAAAAGACACTAATAGAAAGTTTTACTAGTAAGATGGTCCAGCTAAGACCCAAAAATCAACATGACTATCTTTGCACAATATGCCATTCATGGAATCTATGAATATGCACTGTTATTTTATGTGTCACTAAGCAACAAGAAACATTACCAATTAACATAATGATATGTTATCACTTGAAACTTTTATTTTAAATTATTGAATGAAAAATTGGGAACTAAATGAAATGAAATGGCAGAGAGCTGATGTAATCACTATGTAATCTCTATAGGTATATGTCCGAAAATTTCCCTTTAAAAAGTTGGTTTTTTTTTTTTAATGTTTGTTTGGTGGGTCTAGGATTTGAACTCAGGTCTTTGTGCTTGCAAAGCAGGCAGTCTACCACTTGAGCCACACCTCCAGTCCATTTTTCTCTGGTTGTTTCGGAGATGGGGGGGGGGTCTCATGAACTATTTTCCCAGGCTGACCTGAGCTGACATCCTCCTGATCTCAGCCTCTCAAGCAGCTACAGTGATACTGGGTTTGAACTCAAGGCCTCATGCTTGCTAGATAGGTATCTATCACTTGAGTCACTCTGCCAGTTCTTTTTAGTATTGGAGTATTGTTTTTTTTGTTTGTTTGTTTTCTTTGCGGTACTGGAGTTTGAACTCAGGGCCTACACCTTGAGCCACTCCACCAGCCCTTTTTTATAGTGGGGTTTTTCAAGATAGAGTCTCATAAACTATTTGCCCAGGCTGGCTTAGAAACTCACCTCCTGATCTCTGCCTCCTAAGTAGCTAGGATTACAGGTGTGAGCCACTGGCACCTGGCTTTAAAAAATTTTTAAATAAGCCAGGCATAGTGGTGCACAGCTGTAATTCCAACACTGGGATTATAGTACTGGAGAGGCTGAAATAGGAGAATTGATACTTCCAGGTCAGCCTAGGCTACATAGTAACTCTATATCAAAAACAAAACAAAACAAAAAACATGTTCTAGCTTGAAAAGCAAGTTAGACTAGTCATTTAACAATGATGAGGTATTATTTATTTTTATTTTTTGCAGTGCCTTGTGCATTTTAGGCACGTGCTCTATTGAGCTACACTCCTAGCCTAAAAGGGTCTTTTTGGTTTTTTTGAGACAAGGTCTCACTATGTAGCCCAGGCTGGCCTTCAACTAACTACCTTCCTGCCTCAGCCTCCTGAGAGCTGAGATTACAGGCATGAACCCACACCTGACCTAAAAGGTTTTTAATGTGAAAAAAAGAATGTGTACCTTGGAGATACAATATATGGTAATTCATCATAATTGCCATATAGTCCTAAAATATAGTAATAATTGGAAAAATAGGAAAGCTGATTCTTCAGACAGCTTCTGGTGGCCATGATGCAACTAAGTACGATTAGTAATATCCTTTCCTAGTCCCCTTTGTTATCAACAGATCACACGTGTAAATATGTAGCTAATGCTGCAAATGTATCCTAGCACACGAAGAATCCCTAGCATATAGATGTCCAATAAATACCCTGTGAATGAGTGAACAAGCCAGGACAAACACTGAAAGTACTGTATCAGTGTGAAATTTCCTCAGTGTGATCACTGCCTTACAGTCATGCAAGAGAATGACATTTTTCTTTGGATATATTTGCTGAAGTATTTAGAGGTGAAGTAGACATGATGCCTACAACTAACTCTCAAATGCTCCAGAAAGACAAAGTTCATGTGTGAAGACAGAAAGTAATCAAATGTGATCAAAATAGGAATAGTTAGTTAATTTAGGTGAAGCGTATATAATACTCTTCTTAGAACTTCTGGGAAGTAAAAAGTTGGGGGTAAAAAAGGAAAACTGAAGACACTAAGGTGCCACAGATCATTTAAATTTGAAACACTGAAGAAGGCCCTTTCAAGGGAGGCCACCTAACCTTCCTCCTTTACCTGTAGTGTTCAAGCACCGGTGAAGAGGAGCTAACACTGGCTGAAGCAAATACTTGGCTGCCAGTTGTGGGTGTTCTCTCGATATAGTTATGAACGTAGTGGTGGCAACTCTCTGGAACTGTCGTGCAGTCAATTTATCTTGAAAATGAAATAAATCTAGAATCTGCAAGAAAAATTACATAAAGCAAACACCCGGCTCTTTATAAGGAATATAATGGTAACTAAGAAGAAAAAACACTTACTTCTTTAAGCAACAAAATAAAATTGCTGCAGTAATACAGAACTGTTTAACTTAACAACCCAGTACCAAAGGGTATGAGCACTAAAGAGGTTATCTTTTGTCAAATACTTTTATCATATTTACAAAATACAGGCTCCTCATTGTAGAAAACTGGAAAAAAAGAAAAAAACTTTTTAAGAAAGAACAAAAAATTTTCCCAAATCACTATAAATACTTTTGGTATATTTTTTCCAGCATATTTTCTATTTATTTTTTCTTACATTGAGACCACACTTAATACTCAGTGTTTTGTTTTAGACAGGTCTCACTACATAGCCCAGGCTGGCCTAGAACTTATGAGCCTCCTTCCTCAGTCCCCTAATGCTGGGATTGCAGAAGTGCACCACTACATCTGGCTATTACTCAGTTTTGTATATTGCTGAAACTTTCTCATATTGTTATAAATTCCTCAAAAAATACTACACTCAAACTGGCACAGTGGCACGTACAAGAGGTTGAGGAAAAAAAGAGCACTTAAACTCAGGAGTCCAAGGCCAGCCTGGGCAATATAGCAAGGCACTGTCTCAAGAAAAGAAAAGGTTAAAAAAAAAAAAAAAAAAGTGAAAGGAGAAACATTATATTCAAGCTGTTTGGGAGTTTATTATAAATTATTCCTTAAATTCCAGACATTGATTCTCTTCTCTCCCAAATTCTGTTATTATTAACACCGTCAAGTGAAATTACTAGTTCAAATGTAGAAATATATTGAGGGTCTGAGGAGCTTGCCTTCTTGCCTTTTCTAAACTATCCTAGATAAGAGACTTTTTTTTTATAGCGGTGCTAGGGTTTGAACTCAGGACCCAGTACTTGTGAGGCAAATGCTCCACCACTTAAGCCATGTCCCCAGACCTTTTTGCTTTAGTTTATTTTTTCACATACAGTCTTAACTTTTTCCCAGGGCTGATCTCAGACCATGATCCTCCCTTCTTCATAGATGGCATTATACCCATGTTCAGCTTGCATTTTTTGAGCTAGGGTCTTGCTAACTTTTTTATTGTGAGTGGGTTACTCCAGTATGGGCAACCAATGAAAAAATCCACTTCTAATTGCTGACTTGAAGGTGACTCTTATGCTTTCTACAGACAAGAAAATCTTCTACCTGGTCAGTCTTTGGCACTGCCAAAGAGAGACTCAGCAAGCCTGAGACCTGGGCTTTGGTTTTATCATTTTCTAAAGTATAGAAACTATAGGTACTAATTCTGGAAAATATTTACTCAACATTGCAAGTAATAAATTTAGTATTTTTCAATATAAGATACCTGCACTGTGATATTTTGTTCCCATGCATGCCTACCTATGAAAACTCTGGAGATCAGCGTAACCACTGAGTGATCTTTGGACTATACTCCATTTAAATCCACAGGTGTATTGAATAAGAAAACCAACTCCACATTTTTCATCTATCAGGTTAGCAAAGATCAAACTCAGAACCCCAGAACCTCACACATGCTAGGCAAGTGCTCTACCACTGAGCTACATCCCCTGTCCTAGAGAGGCATTTTTAAAATTATCATATTATTGTTGTACTGGGGGTACACTGTGACATTTACAAAAGTTCGTTGAATTCACCCCCCACTTCCCATTCCTGGAATTGTTGGTGAGGCATTTTTAAACCTAACAATTAGGTTAATCTCACCCACAGTTTTTTATTTACCTGTTAAGAAGGTCCCTCAGGTGCCAGTGGCTTATCCCTGTAATCCTAGCTACTCAAGAGGCAGAGATCAGGAGGACTGAGGTTTGAGGTCAGTCCAGGCAAGCAGTTCACAAGACACTATCTCGAAAAACCCCATCACAAAAAAGGACTGCTGGAGTGACTCAAGTGGTAGAGAACTGCCTCGCCAGCATTGAAGCCCTAAGTTTGAATCCCAGGGCTGCTCTAAAAGAAGGTCCTTACTAAACAACTAACTTAAATGTTATATTGCTCTTACTTTAATGTTAAAGAAATATTAAAATATTAAAAGTCCTCTTTCTGTAAATAAGCAGATATCCTTGATGGTTCAAGAGAAGTAACATGATCTACCTGAGGGCAGATGTCTTTGTAGTAACTCTCTGGAGAAAGAGACTGCTGGGGACAAGAGGCCAAAATCTTTGCAATTAAATCACACTTCTTCCAGTCAGCAGCTGTTGCCTCAGCATCACTCCCACCAGCTGCCCCCGCTGTCGCAACAGAGAAAGATGTCAAACATTCATAGCTGTTCCCTATGAGATTCCATCTGATAAATCTGCTTTAAAACTTAGGGTAAAGAGTGTTTCTGTGCTCATTGGACACTGTTTATTTCTTCTATAAGATGATCTGCCCCTCTTCACTTTCCTTTTGATGCTGGTTTATGAGAAGTTTGTCACTGTAATGATATTTATTCAGGTGACTTGAGTACCAGCTTCTCAGTGTTTATTGCTAGTATTATTATTATTACATTGTCTCTTTATATGCATGATTTCACTTAACTGCTTTAAACTACAACCAATAGGTAATATGGATCAGGTTTAACTTACCATTTTAAATAACTATAAAACTGGACAAAATATATAAACTGATTTTCAGACACTAGACAACAGGCAGCCCAGGACACTGATTACTGAGAGACCAAAGCAACCAAGGTGAACCTGATGGTTACCCTAATTTACTATCTAGGGAGAGTTCAGGCCACACTATACCAAGGACAACCCAAATGAAGCCTAGGATCTGGCTAAGACAAGGAAACAGTTCAGAGTTCAGGGAGGCCAAGACAGCTGGAATTTTCAAGGCAAAATATGAGAAAGGAGGAAGTTATATAGAGAAAGCTCCAGAGATCTGCAGAGGATTCTTCTACCAAGTCTTTAGTGGAATATGGTTTATGGATTTCTATAAGGAAAATACCAAGGGCCAAAGGAAGAACCAACAGAAAGGAACTGATGGAACAATCCTAGAGTTCACAAAGGGGTGAGAATAGCTGGTCTTCCCACATGCCAGAATGGAAGGACCTCCTAATACACAGGCTATCAAGTAGAATCATCAGAAGTGTATATATAGCCTTAGTACCAAAATACCTAACATTGAAGATTTTTGTAGAATCACACTAACCAAGCCAGGGTCACAGGGTTCAAAGAGATTCTAACTAACTTAACTGCATCTCAGAACAAAGCCCAACAAAGAAACACAACAAAATCTAGCACCCAACAATGTAAAGTAAAACTGTTCAGTGTTAAGTTGAAAATTATCAGGCACAAGGATAACAAGGGGTTAGGGATATAGCTCAAGTGGTAGTGTGCCTGTTTAGTAAGTGCAAGGCCCTGAGTTGCCCCAGTACTGCCAAAAAAAAAAAAAAAAAGTTAAAATAAAAAGCTGGTGGAGTGGCTCAAGTTGTAGAGTGCCTGCCTAGCAAGTGTGAGGCCCTGAGTTCAAACCCTAGTGCCACCAAAAAAAAAAAAGGAAGAGTAACAGGAGGGTGAGTATGATCAAAGTACATTATATGCATGTATAGAAAATCACAGTGTACAATTAATACACACTAATACAAAAATTACCACACATAAAAAGGAAAATAAGATCGACTGATGCAACAGCACAGTAAAACCTTAAAAACATTACGCTAAGTGAAAGAAGCCAGACACAAAAGACCTCATAATGTATGTTTCTATTTGTATGTACTGTCAATATAGGCAAATCCTTAGAGACAGATAGTAGATTTGCACTTACTAGCTGGGATGAGAGGAGTATGGGGAATATTGGTTGCTAATGAGTAAGAGGCATTTTGGTGGATGGAGAGTTTGATGAAAATGGTCTGGAATTAGAAATTGGTGGTGGTTGCACAACTTTGTGAACATACTAAAATATTCATTGAATTTTACTCTAAAAAGACAAATTTTAAGCCAGGTATGATGGTACCCTTCTATAGTCCCAGCATTTGGGAAACTAAGGCAGGAGGTTCACAAGTTTGAGGAAAGCCTGAACTACAAAGTGAGACCATATATCAAAACACAAAGCAAAATAAATAAATAAAAAAATAAAAGCTAAAAGAATTCATTGCTTCACTGCCAGTAGACCTAATAGGTAACAATAAATACACATATGCACAAACGGTGCGGGGGGGTACTCATAGAAAAATAGCGACCTAATTCTCTTATAACAGCTCTCCAATGTGCATGTCTTTGAGTAAAATCTAACTTTTTTTTTTTTTTTTTTGCAGTGCTGGGGAGGGAACCCAGGGCCTCAAGCATGCTAGGCAAGCACACTACCACTGAGCTGTATCTCCAGCCCAAAATCAGACATTGTAAATAAAGACTAAAGGCCAGTGATTTACCTCAGTCTGTGACTCAAAGGCAAATGGATACTAAAGTAACAGAGATAAATTATTTCTTACCACCTGCTCCTTCCAAAATGCCCCGGACTACTGCCTGAACACCACTGGGCCTCATTAACCTCTCAGAGAGCAGTTGCCCACATAGACACCGAAGCCAGGCTGGGGCCTGACACCTCAGGTGTGTCTTCACATCTGTGCAGGACTGGTGAAAGGAAGGAAAGATATGAATAATGATTATCAATGAAGCAGATAAAATATGGAGAATTTTTTTTTAAAGTACTGAGTCATACTGACAAATCAACGTGCTCTATAGACCAAAAGAGCAACATCTTAGGGCTGGGGATGTAGCTCAGTGGTAGAGCACGTGCTTAGCATATGCAGAACCCTGGGTTCAATCCCCAGCACCAGCAATAATTTTTCTTTACAAAACAAACAAAAAAGAGTGTCAACCTAGCAAGTGTGAAGTCCTGAGTTCAAATACCAGTACCCCTCCCCCCACTCCAAAAAAAAAACACCTCTCAACAGGACATGGTGGTACACACCTGTATCCTTAGCACTTGATGGCAAATTTAAGGCCAGGCTAGACTATATAGTAAGTAAGAGGCCATCCTGGGTTACAAAGCAAGACCCTGTCTACACACACACACACACACACACACAAAACAGGGCCAGGTGCAGGGGTGCACATCTGTAATCCCAGTTACTCAGTAAGGAGAAATAAGAGGATCATGGTCTGAAGCCAGATGGCCAAAGACACAAGACCCTATCTAAAAGATTAAAAGCCAAATTACCAGGGGCATGGTTCAAGTGGGAAAGGGCTTGCCTAGCAAGTGTGAGGCCCTGATTTCAAATCCTTGTACCACCAAAAAACCCTAAACAAACAAACAAAAAACTCAGCTCTCCTTTACAAAACCTTCTTCCCTCCCTCCTTCCTTCCTTCCTTTTTTTTTTTGTACTGGGGTCTGAACTCAGGGCCTTCATCTTGAGCCACTCTGCCAGCCCTCTTTTGTGATGGGTATTTTCAAAATAGGGTCTCATGAACTATTTGCCCAAGCTGGCTTTGAACCGTAATCCTCCTGATCTCTGCTTCCTGAGTAGCTAGGATTACAGGCGTGAGCCACCAGCGCCCAGCTTTCCCCCCTTTTTCTGAGATAGGGTCTTGCTGTACAGACCAGGATGACCTTGATCAATGGCCACCACTACCTTTTTCTCATTTTGTTTGTTTCAAGATAGGGTCTCACTTGATATGTAGCCCAGGCTGTCCCCTTACTTGGTGTCCTCCTGCCTCAGTCTCCCAAGTGCTGGGATTATAGGTGTGTTCCACCATGTCTGGTTTGCCACCACTACTTTTTAAGAAAATAAAAATACAGTGATGTATCAATGAAATTTCAAACCCAGAAATAGACAAACACATCAGTGAGTATAACTAGGAACATAAAGTTAATATGATCAATCTCTGACTGCACTCTTTCCAATCAAACGTAGCTTCCAAAAAAACATTCTTATGAATGCCATTTGCCACTAAGAGGGCAGCTCACATCGTGAGGGAACATGCAACGCCAGGCCCCTGGGTCTTACATGCTTGGACCACCATGACACACCGACACCAGTTTCAAGAAAGAGTCGGATTTCTTCAAGGGCTCCTTTTTTAGTTGACAATCTGTGGAACTACCATGAATAAAAGACCTGGTGTTCTTCTCTCTCTCTTTCCCTCTCTCTCTTGTTTTAGACTTGGTGTTCTTATTTAGGACTAGAACGATAGCCATGCTGCTGTCAACCATTGCACTTAACCACACAAACATCAAAATAGTGACAGAAATATTTAAGCCTAAGTAACCTGTCCTTTCTCTTTTGTTTAAGGAGGATTAGTAATTACTATTTATTAAGAGGGTTATGGAAGGCAGCCAGCAGCTCATGCCTAAAATCTTAACTGCTTGTGAGGCTGAGATCAGGAGGATCACCATTTGAGACCAGACTGGGCAGGGAGTTCATAAGACCCTGTATCAACCAATAGTTGGGCACAGTGGCATGCATCTGTCATACCAAGCTATGTGGAAGGGTGAAATCAGGAAGATCGAAGTTCCAAGTCAACTCCCACAAAGCAAATGCTCACAGCAACCAAAAAATTCTGGGGATAGTGGTGCATACCTGTCAGCCCAGTGATGGCAGGAAGCATAAAATAGGAGGATTGTAGTTCAGGCTGACCTGGGCAAAAAGTGACAGCCTGTCTCCAAAATAACCAGAGCAAAAAAGACTTGAGCATAGCTCAAGTGGTAGAGCACCGGCCTTGCAAGTGCAAAGCCCTAACTTAAAACCCCAGTTCCTCTAGAAAGAAAAAAAAAAAACAGAACAGAGGGTTATGAGATGTCAGGCATGCTAAGTACTTTCCACATAATCTCAGTGTGGCAAATTTGACACATTTACAGAAAAGGAGTGGGAAGTCAGAGGGGTCTGGTGGAAGGCTACTGTAATATTCTAGAGATGAGATAAAAACAACTCATCTAGGAGATATCTTTAGAGTCAGCTTCAGCTAGTCCATGTTCCTGACATACAGTCAGTTCCTTTGGCCTCTCACTCTTTACACATCTACATTCATAACTAAAATCTAGGTACTAAAAGCAAACAGGCAATTCTGATTATGAAATTAAATCAATTCCAATACATTTTTTTGGAGACAGAGCTTGCTACATAGCCAGACTGTCCTAGAATTTATTATGATCCTCCGATCTCAGCCACCTGAGGGCTGGGATTATAGATGCGTACCACCACACCTAGGTAAATTTTTAAGGAAAAAAAAAAAAGAAATTGTATCTAGTAGAATATATACTTGTTTGTTTTTAAAACAAGGGAGGTAAGAATAGAAACAATGGTAACTTTAAATTTCCTGACATGAGCTGGGCACCAGTGGCTCATACCCATAATTCTATCTACTTGGGAGACAAGATCAGAAGGATAAAGGTTCAAGGCCAGCCTGATCCAATAGTTCACAGACCCTATCTCAAAAATACTCGAGACAAAAACAGGGCTGTCAGAGTAGCAGAGTAGCTCAAGTGGTAGATGCCTGCCTAGCAAGCGTGAGGTCCTGAGTTCAAACCCTAGAACCACCAAAAAAAAATTTTTTTTTACTTCAAGTACTTCATTTAAAGAATAAAGTGTCCAAATACTTCTACCAAAGGAATACATTGTCAAACAGCCAAATATTAGTTTACAGTAAGTTCTGGGGGCATAGCTCATGAGGTAAAGCACTTGCTGACCATGTGTGAGGCCTTGGTTTGATTCCCTGTACTAAAAAAAAAGATCCAATTTCTGAATGAATGAATAAGTACATATTTTGAAGGTCACAATGCACACAACCTGTGACCTCAGTGTTGAGACAGAAGGATAGGAAGATAGGAAATTCAACAGCTGGGATGAACATAGACTGAGTCTCAGAAAAACAAAACAAGCCAGGGGCTGATGGCTCACATCTGTAATCCTAGCTACTCAGCAGGCAGAGATCAGGAGGGTCACAGTTCAAACCCAGCCCAGGCGAATAGTTTGCAAGACCCGATCTTGAAAAAACCCTTCACAAAAAAAAGGGCGTGGAGTGGCTCAAGGGTGTAGGCCGAGTTCAAACCCCAGTACTGCAAAAAAACACAAACAAAAGACACACCCACACACACACACAACTCACATAAGACTGCCATAAGCCTTAAAATATTGATAATATTCTATTCCATTAATTCATTTAATAAAAAAGGTCTTAAATTATCCTGAGGGTCAGTATCACAAGTTTTATAAATATCATTAAATAGGGAACTAAAGTCATCCAATTTTCAGGAGAAGACAGCACAGCACACATTATCATTGACAATTCATCCACGAGAGTCCCGAGGCCTGAGTACCTGGGGAGGTCCTCCCTGCAGGATAAGTAATTCACGGACTGCTAATGGTTGATATACTTGATCCAATAGGTCTCTCAAGGCCCCCCTGGCCAGGGTTCGTTCCTCTTCAGTTAAAACCTGAAAGAAATATGCACTTGGCTTTAGTGAAATACAAACCAGGCAACGGCTAGAAGGCAACATCTTATAGCACCAAGCAAAGGTACTTGGTGAGGGAAGAAGGAAAGCTTTTAGCACCTTGATTAGAGGAGGCTATGCCACGAACATACCCCTATCCCTCTCTCCATCCCTCACTCACTCCCCTTCTGGGCAGGTTTGTGGCTTATCTTATTGGTGACTGTGGAATATCCTCGCTTTTGGCCAGTTCAGGCACACACTGCTCAGCTTGCTCCTCTTCTCTGTGGGAGTAAATACACACAGGGCTCTGCTCTGTGCCGTCCTGCAGAGCGGATCACAGTCCCTGCATGAGGCAGAAGGCGCTGGAATTTTCCAGTCCTCTTGAAACTGGGTGAATAGTAAGTGTGTTTAATTCTGAGTGTACTGTTAGGAGATTTGTCTCCATCTGTGTGATATCCCACCAATTTTGTTCTTATGAGAAATAGAGGTGACATTTTGACTTTTCATCTCTCCTACTCTATTAACTGGTTAGTCTTTTCATTCATTCAGACCTGGGCCCGCAAAGAGGGTTGCTATTTTGGGGCACCTTAAGCACCAAAAGTGCTATCCCCCATTGGGAGTTAACCACTCACAGTCAAACAGTGAGGGTCCTGCCTATTACCATTTAGCACACTGAGATGTGAGGCTCTTGGGGGGACACTATCCAACTTCATAATATACCGTTACCTCCTCATTCCACCTCTCCTTTTGGTTCTTTCTGTGTTTCCCTCTTCTTTTCTCTCTCTTGCCTCAGACACTTGGGGCACTGTTTAGCCTCTGTAACAGCAACAAGATCTGCTGTTCCAGATCCCCGTACCTCAGGAAGTACAGGGTGAAGGCGCCACTGGAACTGTCAATCCGTACCACTCTGAAGTAAAGAACAAGGTGCTCTGCTCTGAGCCACTAGGGGAGCTCATAATTTTGGGTCACTGCTTGGATGACAGTGACTTTTAGGCACTTTTAGAATGATACAGGCAGGTGAAAGAGAAGGAACAGCATGGTAGGACCTGACTGTGGTGGTTCAGAACCACCCTGCCTATTAGGTGCTCTGACCCTCCATACATTACATCTTTTTTTTTTTTTTTTTTTAATTTTATTATTCATATGTGCATACAAGGCTTGGGTCATTTCTCCCCCCTGCCCCCACCCCCTCCCTTACCACCCCATATATTACATCTTAATAGCTTCTTCTGCCTAGTTTCTACACTGATGCTGGTGGACCTCTTACAGGGAGACATGGCAGGCCCTGCTATATCATACTTGTAAGTCTTCTCTCCTCACTTAGTATGTGAACTAGCTGAAGAAAAGGACCATGTCTAATGTTTCTGTAACCTCCACAGCAACTTCTGTGGCCTAGGTATCAGCTGGCACACAACTACTCACTGAATGAATGATGGCAAAGAACCGACACATAGCCCCAACACCCAGTAATAACAAAGATGCCTGGCGTGGAGGTGCACACCTGTAATCCAGCTACTTGGGAGGCACAGGTAGGAGGATCATGGTTCAAGGCTGGCCCAGGCAAAAAGAATGAGACCTTACCGAAAAATAACTAAAACAAAAAAGACTGAAGGCATGGCTCAAGTGGTAGAGTGCTGGCCTGGCAAGTGCAAGGCCCTGAGTTCAAACCCCAGAACTGCCTAAATATATAAATAGACAGATAGCAGCAACTACTTTCCAATAAGCACTAGTGGAGGAGGAGTGGTTCAGGTGGTAGATTGCCTGCCTAGCAAGTCTGAGGCCCTGAGTTCAAACCCCAGCACCACCAAAAAAAACCAAAACAAAACAATGAAGGCAACAGCACTAGTGGAGATTAGCCTAGGTACTTTGCATACATTATCCTTAATTCTCACAACCACCTTCCAAACCATTTTATAAGAACCAGAGGTTCAAAGATAGCCTGCTGTAGCTATCCCACAAGATGACAAGGGACAGATGAAATGGGATTCTCCAGGTGTGCAAAAGACTGCCATCTAAAAAATTAAGCCTCCACCACCCCCACCCTTGATCCCCCACCTTTCACCTCCCCATCTCCAACCCCACTACCCAAAAAAAAAATATTCCATTTACCTACTGCTATGCTTTGACATTCAATAGGAATTCAAGATCTTTCAACTTGCTTCCAGAGAACTAAAAGTTGTCTTTTATAACAACCACACACAAATATATACACATACCATCTCCCTTTTTCCCAATCGCTCAATAAATGTTTACCTCTTCCACAGGTGTTGGTGGTTTTCTTTTGGTTGGGCAGAATCCCAGTTGGCACAGACCTGCTGCAATGTCCCCGAAGTGGCGGCAGAAAATCAAGCTTCCCAAGGATGCATGCCGAGCAACATTTAGGAGGACCATGCAGCTGGTGTACAGTCTCCGGGTTGCATGGGGAGCAGCATCAGGCCACACAACATCATGAACAACAGCACCAAATTCAGTCCTGGATCTCAAAGGGACTCCGACACCAGGTACAAGGTAGGGGCACACACCCAAAGTAACCACAAATTGCAAAACAGACTGGACAGTCTTCTGCTGTGATATACTGAGTGTGTCAGGGCTGAGGGCAGGAGCAACTTCTGGAGTCCTAGGGTTGGGTTTACCTGGATGGAAATCAGCTGCTAGGCGGATCATGGTTTCCTTCAAGCACAACAGCAGCAACAAGGTTTGAGAGGTGAAACTCCAAGTGATGTCCACGGAGTTCTGTGGCCATTCTGCTTCCTCAGCAATTTCATCTCGTATGAGTTTCAGTTTCTTCCACTGAGCATCCTTCAGAAACTTGTCCTCCAAGGCAGACAGATTAGATTTTAAAGTAGCCAATAAGACATTATGTTTTGTGTTTTGTAGTGAACTTGAGCCTGATCCTTTTGAAAAGAAAGGAAAAAAAAAAAAAAAAACCCGATTATATACAAGGAAAACAAATTAAACAAACTGTACTTCCCTGAGTGTGGAATACCTGGCCCACTCCAGGCAGGAGACTGGAGGTGAGTGGGAAAATAGGTGGAACATGGTATCTTAAGGGAGGTGAAACTTTTTTTCTTTTTTAACAGTTCTGGGGATCAAGCCCAGTATCTCACTCCTGCTGTGCAAGTGCTCTACCACTGACCCACACCACTAGCTCCAAAACTATTTTTTTTTAATTCTGTCTGATACTGTAATGCTATAGGCAAGACAGTAGGCATTTCTCTAAACTCAAAGAAATGTATACCACCAAGAATGAACTTAATTAACAGTGAATAAATATTAGTCAATCAATTGTAACAAATGTACCATACAAGTACAAGATGTTAACAACATGGAAAACTCAAACTGGGTTAGAGAGAAAATACAGGGGAATTCTCTGTATTTCCCTTTTATTTTATTTTTTAATAAACCTAAAGATGCAAGCCAGGCATAGTGGCATGCCTGTAAATCCCAGCACACAGGAAGCTGAGGCAGAAGGATCCTGCGTGTTCTGTAGTGAACTTGACCCATCCTGAGTAGTTAGGATTACAGGCATGAGCCACCAGCAACCGGCTTAAAAAACTTATTTTAAGGTTATATGAAACCTTTTTTTTTGGTGTGGTTGGGGTTTGAACTCAGGGCTTCAGCCAAAACAGTCACTCTACCACTTGAGCCACCCCTCCAGTCCATTTTGCTCTGGGTATTTTGGAGATGGGGTCTTACAAACTATTTTCCTGGGCTGGTCTTGAACTGCCATCCTCCTGATCTCAGCCTCCCAAGTAATTAGGATTACAGGCATGAGCCACTGGTGCCCACCTGAGACCAGTTTTCTTTCCTTCTTTCTTTTTTATTTTTGATGGTAATGGTCCTTGAACACCAGGCCTCATACATGCTAGGCAAGCATTCTACCACTTGAGCCACTATGTTTTCCGGAATGCTGGTGGTGGTAACCTCTAGGTAATAAGATTAAAGTACTTTCAGTTTTCTTCTTTCGGTTTCTCTTTAGTTTCTAACCTTTACTATAGTGAACATTAACTAATTCTATAAAAAGAAAAAGTAATATTGTTCCTTAAAAATAGTAAAAATAGGCCAGGTGCTGGTGGCTCATGCCTATAATCCTTGCTACTTGAGAGGTGGAGATCCAGAGGATCACCATTCAAGGCTACCCTGGGCAAAAAGTTGAAGAGACCACCCCCCAAATCAATCAATAACTAGGTACAGTTTTACACACCTGTCATCCCAACTTCACAAGGAGGCTGAGATGGAGAGGATCATGGTTCCAAGACAGCCCAGGTTAAAAAAAAAGTTTGGAAGACCCCCATCTCAATAGAGAAATCTGGGTGTGGTGACACATGCCTGTCATCCCAGCTACTGCAGGAAGCACAAATAAAAGGACAGAGGTTAGGCTGACCCTGGCAAAAAGAAAAATAGCCAGAGCAAAATGGGCTGGAGGCGTAGCTCAAGTGGTAAAGCGTCCACCTAACAAGCATAAAGCCCTGAGTTCAATCCCAAATAGCACCAAAAAAAGAAAGAATCAGAAGAATAAGAATCTTGCAGTACTTCTCTAGACTGTCTGGGGCAAGTGTTCTGACCACTAGCTTTGAAACCTGGTTCCTGCCAGGCTCCAGTGGTTCATGCCTGTAATCCTAGCTACTCACAAAGCAGAAATCAGGAGGATCACAGTTCAAAGCCAGCCCCAGCAAATAGTTTGAGAACCAATCTCAATGAACCCCACCACAAAAAAGGGCTGGTGGAGTGGCTCAAGGTGTAGATCCTGAGTTCAAAGCCCAATAGCACAAAAAAAAAAAAAAAAAAATCTGGTTCCTTCAGCTAAAACATAACTAAATAGAAAACGGGAGCCCTCATAGCTGTGGCCACTAACCATTAAGGTCACTAACCAACTTCTATGAGACTTCTTGTGATTTTTAAGATCTTTGAATCCAAACATGGAACACAAAGAAAGTGATTTAAAACAAAAGCTTACTGGTTTTCCCAAGAGCTGCCTTTTAAGACTTCTCTGCCCTCTACTGGTGATGAAAATAAAATCTATGGTATTTGAAAACGCTGGCATTTCCTCAATCTCTCTCTCTCTCTCTCTGTTTTTTTGCTTTTTTTTTGGTACCAAGGTTTAAACTCAGGACCTTACAGTTACTAGGCAAGTTCTATACCACTTGAGCCCCAACCCTAACTCCCCCCACATTTTTTATGAGATGGGGTCTGGCTATGTCACCCAGGTTGACCTGGAACTTGTGATCCTCTGGCCTCGGCCTCTGGAGCTCTGGGATTACAGACATGCACCATGCCTGGCACTAAAGCAGCAGTTCTCCAGGTGTGGTATAAGAGATTTGAGTTGTCAAGGGGTCTGCAAGGTCAAAACTATTTCATAATAACACTAAGACAGGTCTGGGGATATAGCTTATAGGTCAGTGGTACATTTGCCTAGCATGTACAAGGCCCTGAGTTCAATCCCCAGCACCACACATACACACACAAAAAAGATTTACAAAAGAGTAAAACAAGACTGGCAGAGTGGCTCAAGTGGTAGGGCACCTGTCTAGCAAGGTGAGGCCCTGAGTATAACCACAAGAAGAAAAAGAAAGAGTATGAATAAAACAAGCGGAGGGCCAGTGGCTCACACCTGTAATCCTAGCTATTGGGAGGCTGAAATTGGGAGGATTACAGTTCAAGGCCAGCCGGGGGAAACAGTTCACAAAAAAAATGACTGCAGCAAAATGGACTGGAGGTGTGGCTCAGCAGTAGAGTACCTGCTTTGCAAACAGTAATCCCTGAGTTTAAACTCCAGTCCCACAAAAAAACATAAAACAATGCCACTCTTCCCATTAGTTATAGTTATTTTAATTAACAATGTTATTGTGAGCCAGCATGAGACAGACTGGGGTTAGGCTATTCACCCCAAGGATCACGGCTTGGAAAGTGGCAACCCCTGGATGCAACCAGGGCAGTCGAGCACCATAGACTGGCTTTGGATCACTACAAGAACTGGTTCACACTCAAAATGTTCCTCTACTCTCACCCAAAACATCCCTGTCACACAGTGGGAAATGGTGCCCTAAATAGCTATGTTCTGTGATATTTAAAGTGTCATGATTTATGTGGTACTTTTTATTAAACACAAGTAGGGGGCCAGGTACAGTGGTATGAGTCTGTAGTCCCAGCTACTTGTGGGAGACTGAGGCAAGATCTCTTGATCCTGGGAATTCAAGGCCAACCCGGGCGACATAGCAAGTTCTTGTCTCCAAAAAAAGAAAAAGAAAGTATAGCACATCTTCATTATTTACAAGTTACTGGTATTCTTAGCAATTTCTCCCAGTAATTAAAATTTAACAACAGATCAGCTGTTAAATTTAGTACAGAAATATTTCATTTCAAAACTCATACTGAGATGGCCTCCATTTTTATAAACAAAATTTCAATAACAGCCTTTGAAGTCTTTTGAACACAATTCATGAAGAAGGAGGAGCCTGGGTTCCTTCATCTCTAATACAGAATGCAAGGAATAGCTATCTCATAGGACTGTTGTAAGGGTTAAATGACATACACAAACAGCTGACTATGGGGACTGATGTTTAGTAAGCACTCATTTACTATTATTAACAACTTATTTTCACTTCCAACTAGTATGGTATAATGTTTGCAGTTGTTTTCGTGTCAAACATTTGAGACTAGGGCTGGGTGTCAGTGGTTCACACCTGTAATCCTACCTACTCAGGAGGCAGAGATCAGGAGGATTGAGGTTGGAAGCCAGCCTGGGCAAATAGTTTGTGAGACCCTGTCTCGAAAAAACCTTTCACACACACAAAGAAAAGGGCTGATGGAGTGGGTCAAGGTGTAGGCCCTGAGTTCAAGTCCAAGTACCACAAAGAAAAAAAAAATTGAGACTAGGAACATCCTCACCTTGGCCTTTCCTGTGCCTTCACCTTCTTAATCCTTCAAGTCCCTTCTCCCAAAATATATATTGCAATTGTATGCAGAGCCCTGTATTTTTTAAAAGAGGCTTTTATTTTATTTTGGCAGTACTGGATTTGAACTCTGGACCTCATACTTTCTAGGCAGGTGAGCTACCACTCCAGCTACTCTACTAGACCGAGCAGGTGCCTATTTCTTATGTCCTCTCCCAAAGCTCCAGATAACATCTGAGGCGCTATGCTCAATAATCTGCTGAAAAGGGGATTCGGAGGAACAGGGTTCTAAATTCGTGTTCTGCCCCTATGGAGCCACATGGTCTTGGTTACTTAATCCATTCACTGAGCCTCAGTGGTGAAAGAGAGTGGTAGGCTCCACCACTGCCAGGTCCTTTCAGTCTAAATTAGGAAGATCTTGTCCACTCACCACAAAAGATTAAAGGTGACTGTAAATCCCTAAAGACTGTGCCCAAACAGTTCTCAAACGTGACTGCTTCCTATTTCTGGACTCCTTTCTTTGCGATTTGTACTACTTTTTTTTTTTTTTGGTGGCACTGGCTTGCTACGCAGGCGCTCTACCACTTGAGCCACTCCTGTCCTGCGCTTTGTACAAATCACAACAGTCCACATTACCGCTGCGCCCCCAAGCGGTCGGGACCTCACATTACACCTCGCGGACGCCTGTCCTCTCAGGCTGTGTTCCGCAGTCCCTACAGCTCCGAGGCGTGCACTTGAGGTGCCGGCCCCAGGAAAGTACTCCAGCATGTTAGCTAGTATCAGTATCCAACCGATTCCATGCTGTCTTTGAGCATCAGTTTCCTCAGGTTTGAAATGAGGCTGAACGAGAACCAAATGCCTCTAGCACCGGAGCGGGGGTCTGGGGAAGGCCCAGGGGTGCATGCTGCGAGAGCCTGGACAACCCTGGAAGACCGGCGGCCCTGTAAGTCCCAGGTCCAGCTCGGCACCGAGATGCTTCCTCTCACCTCCCGGGCTCAGCAGCAGCTTCAACGCTTCCAGAATCTGGTCCAGACTGCATGTCTCCAAAGCCCCGCTGCCCACTGCCTCTACGGGGGTCGCCATGAGTGGAGTGGAACTTGGTGTTTGCGCCCGTTTCAGGCGCTTTGGTGGACGAGCGCCGCCGCCATGTTAAGTGTGGCAGGAAGTGCTCGGCGCTGAGGGGCGGGGACACGTGATGTGGGGCGGGGCCTACTCCGTTGGGAACGCCCACCTTCACGGAAGGATAGTTTCTGGTTCCCTTTGCTCACGTGAGTGAGGTGGAGGGCAAAATAAGTACCCATGCTCGGGGTTTTCAGAAACTCACTATGATTAATTGCCATATAGAAGGTGAAATAGCTACGTGCCCAGGCAGAAGGATCACCAGTTCGAGGCCAACCTGGGATTCACAGGGAGACCCTGTCTCAAAAAACAAAAGAAAAAAAATCATGAGAGAAATAGTTTATCATAAATTAATATATATAAAAATATGTGTATATTGATACACCAGAAGACATAATGAGGTAAAAACTTTTAGTGACGTTTGGATAAATAATATTCAAATTAATATTGTTTAGGGGTTTTTTCTGGCAGCACTGGGATTTGAACACAGGGCCTCATGCCTGCTAGGCAGGCATTCTTATCACTTGAGCCACTCCACCAGCCCTAGGTTTTTTGAAAAAGGGTCTTGCTGTGTAACCCGCGTTGGCCTCAAATTCCAGATTCCCCCTACCGGGTGCTGAGATTACAAGTAGGCTCTACCATGCTTTCCCTTAGATTTCTTTCTATGATATTTTAAAATAAACACAGACACCCACATCTCCATTGCTAATGTAATACCTACAAATGTGGCTATCAGTGATAGGGTGATGCTTTGTTTCTTGTTTAGAGCTGGTGGTAAGGGCATGTGGGCCCTGTACCACTGAGCAATACCAGTGGTAGTAAGGTTTTTGTAATGGACTTAGTAAAATTCATCTTTGTTCTATTTACATGGTTGTTGCATTCCTAGAAAACTCAGTGTATATTTAAACCATGTTCAAACCTATGTAAAACAAAATAGGTTTGAAAGTGAGATCATGGGAAACAGGTTTTTTCACCTGCATAAATCCTGGAGGGACATTCAGAAGTCTTAGACAATGCTTCTGAGGGCAGAACCTTTAGTATGCCTGCCTCTCTCCTTTCTGTGTCAGTCTTAGTCCCTTATCATTGTCAGACCTGAAACCACAACCCCCTTCCTCACCTCCCACTTGGAGAAAATGCTCCCAGACCCTTCCCGTGACCCAGTGAGCTGGAGTTCATGGTTGACAGCCACCCTTCTGCATTAATGCTGAAGCTTGGGGAGCAGACGTGCTTCCTATGTGGGCCCTCGACCCTGGGGAGAGGAGCTGTACGTTGAACTACTTCCTCAGAGCCAGCGAGGCCACTCCTGGTCTCTCCCATTCCTCTAAGTTCCAGCCCAAACTCAACCATTTCAGTCTCTAAAGTTTTCACAAGGTTTTGAGGGAAACTCAAATGACACTGATCTCAAGTCTGGCAGCACTTGCCACAGAATAGATGTTTACTAAATTGTGCCTGATCTTTTTTGTTTTTTTGGTTCTGTAGAGTTTGAACTCAGGGCCTCCACTTGAGCCATGTCCCCATCCCTTTTGCTTCTTATTTTTCAGGTAGGATCTCCAACCTTGATCCTCCTGCCTCCATGACTCAAGTAGCTGGAATTACACCATGTACCACCAGGCTAGGATTGTTTTTGAGACAGTCTTGCTAACTTTTGCCCAGGCTGGCCTTGAACTGTGATCCTCCTATCTCCATTTCCCAAGTGCTGGAATTACAGATGAAAGCCATGGCACCCAGCCCTATCATACCTGAACCTTTGCATCTCTCCTTCAAGTAAAATCCTGCCAAAACATCTTCAATGTGAAAAAACACTTTTGTAGGGGAAATAAATGACCTACAAAAATTACCCTGAGATGCCCGGTGCGGGCGGCTAACACCTATAATCCTAGCTACTCAGGAGGCAGAGATTAGGAGGACTGAGGTTCAAAGGCAACCCAGGCAAATAGTTCTAGACCCTATTTTGAAAACACCCATCACAAAAAAGGGCTGGTGAAGTGGCTCAAGGTGTAGGCCCTGAGTTCAAACCCCAGTACTCCCCGCCAAAAAAAAAAAAGAAAAAATTACCATGATGCTGTTCCAGAAATGGGGGGGGGGAGTGGATAAAGGAGAATGATAAGGGGGTGAATTCAAGTATGATACATTTGATATATTGTAAGAAGTTTTGTAAATGCACAATGTACCCCCACCCAGCACAATAAAATAAATGAATGGAACAGTAGTGCATTTTAACCTCGTGAATTCGTGATAGGATGTTGGAGGAGAGCCGCCAGAGCTGTCCTGTGAAATGTCAATGTCTGAAGAA